AATGTAATTTTTTCCTTTCCCTCAACCTCATTTCACCCTTCGTGTTGACATAAAGCGTGTGCTTATTCAAGTTGGGTGACTAACCCAAAATGAATACACTGGGGTGGGAAAGGGGGTGAGGTGGCAGTAGGATCATTTCAGCCAATGAGTTCACGAGGCAGCTGTACAAACATCTATGGCTACAACAGGTAGATTCAGGGACACTGTGTGGGAAGAAATAAGTGGGAGCATGAAGATCTTTCAGCATCAGTGCCTGTTTATGCCTTTTAAAGATGAGTAAGAATCAGTGATTAGTTAGAGGTAACAATCTTTTCAGCTAGACTAGTGCCAGGGTTGGTATAATTTTCTTTAAGGGAACATCTCATCAGTAAGAGTTTAAAGCAACAATCTGCTGCAACTGTTCGTTAAACACTCCATAGTATTTTTAATAACCACTGAGTTGGCCAAATTCCTCCCAGGTAACTAGGTTATATTGCTTGAAGTTCCTTGCAACTGCCTACAGTTAATGTATTCCCTACCTTACATATGATAGCAAGACCTCTCATCACAGGCTTAGTAAATAGGGGTTGTTTAAAAAAAAAATATCTTTGTTACATAACGGGAAAAAAAGCTGTATTCTTTCCTGTAGCACATTCTTTGTCTGAGCAGTAGGATGATGGTTTTATGGTAAATCACTGAGGAAAACTCAGCAACCTTTTTTTTGTCATTGCCAATGGCACCGGTTTTTGTCTTTGACAGCAGAGGAGTTAATTCTGCATTTACCAGTGTCTGTTTTCAAAGCATAACAAACAGCTTTCAAAATCAGAAAGTACGCTGCTCAGTGGGGTAGCAGACTTGCCGTATGTTTCTTAAAGCATTCCTGAAAAAAAAAATACTCCTTTGTTGCAGCTTATATGTCACATGGAGAAAGGAAGTAAATTCAGCATGAAGCTTGAAAACTCTTTATTTTGTTATCCTTTTGTGCTTCTCTGAGATAGTTTAGAAAAGTAAAGAAGATTACTTTCATTTTCAACCACTGTCTTTAACTGTAGTTGTCTGATCCTTCTGATTAGAAAATCTGCTTTTAATTACTTATATTTTTGTGCAAATAATGATTGTAAACATATAACACAGACCACTAAAAAAAAAACCACCAGATGCACAAAAAAGTACATATCCTATCCCAGACTGCTCAGAATTTAAAAAGAAAATAGGATACATGATAAGTTTTGTTGTTGTCTTGGGTAATATTAGCTTTTTATGCTCCTTAAACCTCAGTTCCTTCTAAACTGAAAATAATGGTAAATTTTAGGTTTTTGCTAGCTACCACTACTATTATTAAGGGGAAAAAAACCCAAAATTTTACAAAGGACAATAAGTGCAAGCCGTTGAAAGTATTTATCACAAAAGGTCTGAGACTGAAATTTTGATTATTTTGATGGAAACTGTGACTATTAACTGACATCATGATGGACTCCTCAGGCTAAATTCTTTCCAATGTAGAGGGCTGTATATGTTGCTCTACTGAACTGTATTGTATGAATTTTATTGCAAAATTGGAAGTTGAGTGCCTTGCACAGGATAATTGAGTGTCTTGTGAGCCATTTCAGAGTCAGGTTTGCAGTCTCCCACATCGGTACAATGTCCTTGGTCAGAGTCATGGACTTGACTGTCTGTATTCTTTCCTGTAGCCAAACCATGTTGGGAAGGAGGAAAGAAAATGTGCAGGAAAGTTAAAATATGTAGATTTCATTGGTGAATAAAGCTTCTCTGCCTTTGGAAGAGCTACCAATAGAGAGATCTTGAGGCTTTAAATACCATTTCTACCTTTATTTTTTTGCTTATGTACTCAGTGATTAATTAATTTTGTTGGGAACTCAGTGAAAAGCTGTTCAAGTCATTAAATAATGTCAAATGCTAATGAGAACTACTGACTAGTCTTGAAATCCTGATTTTTTTTCTCAGTCTTCAGTCATTTAATACTTGGCAATCACATTAAGCAGTTGAACTTATCTCTAAGATTTTCTACAGTTGTTAATATTTTTTCTTAACTAGAATTAAGAGACTTGAATTCTGTAAGAAAATATACATCAGATTGTTTTTCCTAATGGATGCAGAAACACTTTGTTGTACATAAGGTTACTCACAGCATTTAAGTTGCAACCTGATGCTGGTTCTTCTGTGTGATAAAGAAACAGGAGTTTGAGATGATGCTTTATTGTTCTTCACATAGTTATCTCTAGTGATGCTGAGTGTCCCAGCTGGTGTGGCAACTAACCATGGCCTGGCACCAGCTCAGCAAATCATTCTTCATGAACATTACCTTAAGGGACAGTGTATGTTTTTATTTTTGAGCCAATTCCAGTCAGATATTCAGTAGGTATATAGTCTCTCTTTAGGGTTTCTGAAAAGGCAATGCTGTAGAGTTTTTAAGTATTCCTTACATCATTCTAGACTATTTTTTGGTGACTGTTTGGTGGAAAGCATCTTTCTTCAGTTCATGTAAACTTGAACTGAGGGTTTAATAAATCTGTATATCAGATTTTTATTCAATCCTCTCTAACTCAGGAAAAGCTTTCTGAGTAAGTTCCAAATTCAGAAGAACATATGATCTGTCTTCCTAAAATCTGTCTCCATTTTTAGTTTAAAAAAACCACCTCTTACTTTCTGTTCTAAATCAATTAAAACTTTAAAGAGAGCCTGTGTAATTCCTGCAGATAGTGGAATAATATTCATGAACAATGATCTCAAATACGTTTGCTATACTTTATTACAAATTTATAAGTATACAACAGTAATAGCTTTTTAAAAATGTCCCAGGTACTTTACATTTCAAAATCCACCAGACAAATTTTAAATCACATTATGCAAAGAATCCGTGTTGTACTTTCAGTTTGTGAGGTCTTGCAAAACCCTACTTTCAATTCCCATATGCACAGACTTGATTTTTAAATGTAAATTATGAGCAAGACTTCAACAGTCATCTTCAAGATTCTTGAAAAAATCATGAGTGTTGGCCTCAGTGCATAAAGTCTATGAGGCATTAACTCTCAAAGCAAGAGAGTAAACTTTTCTAGTTGCCAGAAAGTAAATCTACAGGAGCTGTCAGAGCATTAGCTCACTGTGAGCTAATACTCCTTTGTATTCATTATTGAAAAGGTTCAGTTAATTATACAAGTTCTACTGCATGCATACTGCCCAGGAGCAGAAAAAGATTTCCAGGGAGTTGCAAAATAGTTGGTTTTTTTTTTATATCTACAGATAGATGGTATATGCTTCAGTGACTTTAGAAAATATAGGGGAAGTTTCTAAGCCTGATAGATTTAAACACCAACATATGGGTATTTTTTTATTCACCTTTTCTGGTGCACATAATTTTGAGAAAACTGTCATGAGGAAAGTTTCCCAGTTGTGGGTAGAACTGATGTCAAATCTAGGTGAAGGCCAAGGGATCATAGCCTCAGAACCCCTTACTTGGGAAAGACTCTCAGGCCCTAAAGCAGGGGATTGAGAAGTACCAGGAACAGATCTCAACATCTGAGATGTGAGATTTCCAGGAATCAACCTCCGACTTTTTTTGTCTTAAAGGTTCTAAATAAATGTTTTAGATCATACTGAAATTTTTCAGTCTTGCACTATGAAACTTTTTCCCTCGAATCTCTGCTACCAACATATCACATTCTCCCATTACTGAACATTAGGTCCTTCTGTTGTTCTAAAATCCATAATTCCCAGCTCTCCTTTCTCTATGAGAGGACTTCCACCATCTCTCCCATTCCCCATGAAAGTTCAAAAGCTCAGAAACATTTTTGGCATTTTAACCCCAATAGAAGATTGAGACCTCTTCTGTAGTGTCATTTCATCCACTTGGAACATGGATTTATAATTTTGAGCTTTGCCATTGTTTTTTTATGTAATATATGATTCCATTTACTTAACTGATTTCTTAACCAGTTCATGAACACTGTAAATAGGAGCACATTTTCCCTTTCTCTTTTTCTTTCTATCATTTCAGTCTTCATCACAAGGCTCTATGAATGCATTTACATAAGTGCTGTTGTCCCTGTACTTTTTCATCTGTTCTAGGTTTTTATGTGATATTTTTTTATTCAAACATATCTCCATGGACTTTAATCATACACCTCAGTTCAATAGTGCAATGAAATACCAACTTTAGGATATGTCTGTTATAGCAGTCTGAGGAAATCATCATTGCATGAAATGAAAAATAATGGCACTACTGAGTGCTGAATGAGGTGGAAAATGTAAAATATGCATTTCACTGAGAAGCAGGTGGATTCCTGGTGGAAGGCTACAAACTTTTTAAAAAAAATTAAACAAAGAAAAGAAAAGAAATCAAACAAAAACCCCCCACACAACCACTTAACAGAAGACTCTGGGCAGGAGCTGAAAGGTAAATTGATATTTCTCCAGACTGGTAACTTTAGGAACCATGTCCACATTACTGTGAGGATGCCTGCTTCCAGGAATCAGTCCTCCAGGGACAGTAGAACTTTTACTTCTGCATAATACTGTGGAATACTCTGCAGAACATTTCTTTCTGTTCATCTGTCCTGAGCAAAATTTGGATCAACCCATTTTTCTAGTTTTGACTGAGCTGATTCTATGTTTATCCTGATTAATGGAAACGATCATCCCTTATTGCTCTGTTGGACAGATTACATAGGTAGTTGAATACCAGTAGTGATTACAAGTATTCATTTTTATGCTAAAATTTCCTAGGTTCTCTACAGCCAGACACAAAATACTCTGGTGGTCCTGGAAGACAGATTAGATTTTCTTTCATATATTAGTCACAATGAGCTTTCTTAGAAATATCACAGCTTTTACTGTCACACTGAATAGGCAATGTCTCATACTCTTATACTTAGTAGTCTTATTAGCAACAATTATTTCACTAATCATTCTTATTTAATGAGAGAGAAATAGCGTCCCAGCAGTGGTCTGCTACCACTGTAACACAACCATGTAAAAGAAAATCTATTAATATAATAGCATACCTGTCTTCCACATGAACAGTCAGTGCAGAAGCATCTGCTCTGGTACCCAAGCTGTGCAGCACACACGGCTGTGCTCTCCAGTGTGTAGCTCCAGGGAGGTATGAGCAAGACTTTAAGCATATTTCACTGAAGAGCTTCAGAGCTGCAGTATAAATCTGAGGGAGAATCTGGAAATCATGATGTGAGGAGTGAATAGGCACGTTCTTACCAAAAAATGTCATCTCCAGCTATCATGATAGTGTGCCTACTAGGTTTACAGCACAAAAGAGTGCTAACATATTGTGTTAGCTTGAGTAAGTGTATGGATGTATTTGTGTATACAAATGCCATCTTCCACCTCCTTCTCAAAGAAAGCCTTATAGAGTTACATATGCCACCATGTGTTAAGTAATTTTTTTTATGGGCTATAAATGACTTGGCCAAGCTGTGAAATGAAACAGCTTGTTCCACTGCACTAACACTGCAGGCTCAGATCTTATTGTCTGTGAAGTAAATGTGTGATGAGTCACTTTCTAAACGAAAACACATCATAAGTGTTCTTGCACCAAGTCCTGTTCACTGTGTATACATCCTTGTGATAGGACAGCTTTAGGACAAAGAGAAATTATCAAAATATAGTATTATTTGCAGTCATAAATCAGAAAAGATCAGTATTTTTTCAGTCTGATTACCTCTTTTTAAAACTTTTGCATATTTAGTAAAAATAGGCCTGTATTAGTTGTGTAGGTAACATCTACTCCTGAAGTTAGCACTTTATCCTTGAACTGTTTTTCTATTTATGTTTCTAATGATATAAATTCTTAAAGACCTGCATCTACTTTTATCCATTTACCTCTAAGGCTTAATTTTTTTGCATTCTAATGACCATATGTCCAAAGCACTACAAGGAATGAAAAATCACTACCTACACAGCCCTCTGCCAGAGCAAATAGGTGTTCCTGTTATGCAACATGTTCTTGGGTTTACATTTAAATGCAATATGACTGACTTTGCTTCTGCCTGGCCCACAAGTTTGGCAGACATTATATAAATAAACTTTGTTTTTCATGTCACTCTGCTCCTGGAGTAGTCAGCAGGTTTCCTAACAGAAAACAACTTTTCAGAAATGCAATCTGCAACTACTTTGGTTTTGTTACTTTCATTTTTAGCTGTTGATCTTAGGAAATGCATTGTTCTTACAACATTTTCTAAGCACTCCATGTATTTTAATTTAGGTTGGTGGATATCAGTTTTAATCCCAAGTAAAAAATATTCCATTCAAATTATTTGTTTCTCTTTGGATTCCCAAAAGTAAATAATACTCAAAACCTACTTAGCAGTCTAGTTTTTCCCCTTCTGATACTGTGCTACATAAGATTTTTGAATTATGTTTATAATTATTTGATCCTCTTTATTAGATCTTGAATGGCATTTTCTATTATCTCTTGCTGCCCTCTGTGGGAGTCATTTCATTCCCCTTAAAGTGTTCATACTATTTTCTTTGTACTTTCATCATATTGTAAGTCAAACGGACTTAAATTCAGTTCCTAGTACTTCTAGATTCAAGCCTGAATGTCTAATTTCTCAAAAATCAAATGGACAAAAAGAATAAATAAATCTATTGTGATAGTCACATCTTCACATATACATTAAGAGGAAGAAGGTGCAAAATTTTTCATTATTTTGGCACAGAAAGTGATGGTTGTTTCAGATGTGATTTCGTCATTTCAGACTATATTGCCAAACTCTCAAAAACTTGTATATCAAGACTAAAAACAGTTAAAAAATGTTTTTAACGTGGGAGAGGGAAAGTAGCTTAAAATCTGTCATCATTTAAATGATCACCTTAGCAAACCTAGCAAAATCCTCTCTTGTTTTGTATAGGTGAGACACATTTTGTGTTCTCATAGTGACATGGAAAAAGAATTTGCAGACTCAGTTGTCCTACTTTAACAAGATATTTATGCTGTATTACACAAAGATTATTGTAGTATTGTGCAAATCCTTTACTGAACTGTGGTTATGTCAGATCCAGACTTTTACAGGCAGTTAGCAAATTTTTTCTTCTTTTAACAACAGATTCCCTTCTTGGTAAAGCCACAGTAGAATAAGCTTAAAATAATCAAGGTTCAGGTTGCTCTGCATGTATGACATTAAATAGTTTTATTGTTTTCCCTGTATGAACTTCTGTTCATACAGAAAGCCAGGGCAAAGCGTGCCTTTCATCATCAAAACTTCAAATGTGCTGTGGCAAGCCGCCTTTTATGCAGCTAAATCTGCAGAGTCTGATAGGTCTCATTACGTAAGATGCTAAAATTGTGAAGACTATGAATATATATTTAGACTCAGACAGTGATTTATGGTGAGGATGAAAGGGAACAAAGGTGGTTGAAGAGAGTTTTGCCTTCTGAGACTGCGTAGTTCCTCCTCTCGGATCCAGGCTGCACCTGTCTTTGAAGTTCAATTTAAATCGCAAGAATAATTTCAGACATAATTTTGGCTTTCTCTCATTAAAGTTATGGAAAATTACAGTGCTGAAGATTTTAATTTGGATACTTCTAGTGTAACGTAATTGTTTAAAAATCATTTTTCTAAGTGGAATCCATTAACTTGCCTCCCAACTGCCACTGAAAAAAAATAAACAGACACTTCCAGAAGGAATTTGTTCACCCTAAATAAAAAAAAAATAAAGGTTAAGATGTTATCACTATTGATTACAGAGTCTAGGGACTCTGACATTAAACACATAAATTTCCTTATGATTAACCCTGTCACTAGTTTGTAACTCTAAAACAGAGCTAAATTTTTGGGAAGTCTGGTATTTGAATGAATGCAGAGAGGATAGAATAATCAGCTTAGAAAATAAGGATACCCTTCCACAGAAATATAAATAGATATAAATATGAGATATCTAGTAGGTTGTACTATAAATTAGTTGTGTAACTCTCTTTACTTCCCGCAGCTCATTTTTATTCTCTCTCTACCTACTACCTGCCAAGTGCACACAGGTATTCTCTGTTCATCTTCACCGTTAAAAACAACCTTTGTGGTCACCTTTTTATCACCTAAATTTGAAATTTACAGGTCTCATGATTTCGCCTCCATTTATCCCAAATGTTTCTATGGTACAGGGACAAGTCTTGCTGGAATACTGAAAAAAAATCTTTCTGGAGAAACCTCTGATCCCTTATACTGTCCTTTAGATCACTGACTTGGGCATCTTCCTGACACCAGTGAAACTTTTTCTTCTAATTCACCTACTCTAACCTTATTCTTTTGTTAGCTGCTTTCCACTGCCTTATGAACATTTTCCTACAGCATTTTAGAAAACCACCCAACAGAAATAAAGCTGGTTGAAACTGGATTGGTACAAGTATACGATTTTTATCAAATGTGTGAGAATGTGTGAAGTATCAGTGTTATTTTCCCACAAAACATATTACTTCAGGCCAAGAGTTTTTACGTATGGTATCAATACACAAGCAGAACTGAGTTCTGATTTGGTTTGGTGTTTTTTTGTTTTTGTTTTTGTGGTTTTTTGTTTGTTTTGTTGTTGTTTTTGTTGTTGTTGTTTGGTTTTTTGGGGGTTTTTTTGTTTTAATTTGTTTTGGTTTTTTTTTTTTTTTTTTTTTTTTTTGGGTGTTTTTTTTTTTTTTTTTTTTTTTTTTTTTTTTTTTTTTTTTTTTTTTTTTGGGTGTTGTTTTTTTTACTTTCCAAAACAAAAATAAAAGAATAGAAGCTCTGAAAGGCAGGCATACACAAAATGACCAATAAATGGAATAGGGTTTATAGATATATAGATATATAGATATTCTGGGAAATATTCTGCACCTCAAAATCTCAACAGGCAAAGGGCTTTCTCTGTTTTCAAAATTTATTTTGAACAACAGTTTTGTTTCCTCTGAAAAAAAAGTCTGAACATATTTTTCTTAAAATATTCTTTGTTTAATCCTACTAAGAATTTTGGGCATACGGGCTAAATTTTTGCACCACTATATATTTAAAATTTTGTGGGCAGTGAGCCTGCTAGCTCTGAGAATCACAACATAAAGCTGTCAGCTTTTTCATATGCCTGAACCTCAAAGTCAGCCACCCTCACTGCCCACAAAATTGTAAATTGTGTTTGCTGTGAGCAAAGTTCCTGAGTTCTGCTCCTCTCCCCCATTACGTGACTGCACGCACGTAGTGTCAGAGGAGACACGGAGATATTAATGAAAGACCTTCTTTGTTCATCTCATAATATAGCCTGTTCTCAGCAGTCCACATTTCAAGTAAGGAGATGGAAGGGACCTTCAGCAGCTGGAATCCTCTTCAGAGCAGAAGCAAATACATGCAATCTTTCTCTGAGCTTCAGTTTGTCCCATGAGTGGTTGATTGCACCATGCAGAACAGAATGGGTATCCAGCTGCAAGAGGAGCAACAGATTTCAGAACATGCATATATTCAACCTCATCTGTGGAGCCAGAGAACATATTTTTTGAGACAGACCCATGTTAGTAATCCCAACATCTATTTAAAGCACTGTGAGACAGGAGGAAGTAGTTAAGACTGTATTTGCTGTCTGATTTTTCTTTCAGTAGAGAAAATGAATATTAAACCGGTCTACAGGGAAAATTTTGACAATTATCATGGAGAAAGAAATAAGTGTGAGAAAGGTGAAAAGACAAAAAGAAGGTAATGAAAAAAACTCAAAAAGGACGGAAAAGGTTGGAGCCTGTAAATATTGGGAAGCATTGCTTATAAACATTATCCATCATTATTTTAAGCAGCTTTGCTAGTAGCTCATGTCCCAGCAAGAGGATGAAAAGCATTATGAACACAAACAGCTGGTACTGCAAGTAACTGTTATGGCAGTAAAAATTAATATAAAATTAAAATAATGTAAAAAAAAAAGGAGAGAGAGATTTGAGAGATTTCCTTTAAAAAGATTGGAAGGTTTTGGCTGGTATTTTGACTTCTTGATATATGTACTTTTAAAATGATACCGAATACTCTTTTGCTTTCCCTTCAGTTGGAGCAGTTGAAGTCGTTTAGCTCTAATACTGAAATGTAAATATCAAATGGCTAGTATTTGCACTAATACTGAATTATTTATTGTGATAAGATGATATTATTTTGTTTTTCTGAAGTATAGCTGTCTGCTAGAGGATGAACTTCTGGTTCTGAAAATAGTGTTAAAGGAATCCAGCAGAAACGTATTTCTTGCTACAGCTGTACTCTGTTAGACAGAAAATGACGTGTGTATGAGCTTCATGGATTACAGACAGGAATACATGAGTGGCATAGGTCCTCATCAGCTTTTCTA